CCCTAAAGTTCTTAAAATCTATCATCTCCACCAGAACGTGAGTCAGCAAGGAGACCTCGAGGGACCTTGGCATCTCACCCCATCCTCCTCTTCTTGGCACCATGGAACCAGAATGTGGCAAGTGCCAGAGCGTGCGCAGTAGCCATGAGACACACTGTGAGCCAGGGACTCCTCTGGGCACGCAGCACTTGGGGTGACCCTTCTCTTGAGCATCCAAGCTGCTCTGTCCAGTCCTTGGCCTGCACCTGGCAGGGGAGAGCAATGCCACCTACATGCCCTACCCCCACAGTCTCCAACTGGCCAATTGCCCCAGTTAAGATGCATTGGTCTGGAGACTTGGGACCACAGACACCACAGCTAAGTCACATCAGAACTGGCCACTCAGGAGCTTGAGTTCCAGTGACTGGCACGGGACGTCGGACATATGAGATGGGTTAGGACCTACGTCAGGACCCTGAATGCCAGTGACATGAGTGAATGACTGAGCCTGATTGCAACATGATGACTCCAACCCACAAGCATGCTACCAGCCCCTGCCCACTCCTCAAACCCAGAACCCATCCCCCTGCAGCGGCGAGACGGATACCCAAACCCCAAGTGATGTCATGATGCTCTAGCCCCAAGTTAATCAGCTCAAGCGGTGTCCTGTTTCAGGACTTTGTGGGAATGGGCAGAGGCCATGCCCGAGGCCATCTCCGACAGATACACTATGCCATCTGGCAGCCACAGTTGGCTTCAGAAGGGCACCCAGCCTGAGCTTGCTTTCTTTGAGTGGTTTATTCTTTTCCATGATATAACCAGAGAGAAACAGTCCTCGGAGCAGATACCTCTCCTGTGCTCTGAAGAACTCGGGACTGCCACCAGGATTTCAAAATAATACAGGCATACAGATAACACAAAAGATCACATAGAAGTCGCTCATGACATACAAATCACAGGTTTCAGTCATGTGTGGGCATACATCCTGCTTTGTCTTGTTGGAGGTATCTTCGTGCGTTATCTCATTTTAGCATCACAGGAACCTCAACAGGTATTTTACAGACACTGCTTTCCAGATGAGATCGCAGAGAGGTAAAGGATTTTCAGGTGTTGCTCATCACACACACACACACACTTTCTCTCTCTTTCTCTGTCTCTGTCTTTCTGTCTCTGTCTCTGTCTCTGTCTCTGTCTCTCTCTCTCAAGGCACCATCATCCATGTGGCCCCTAACCACAGCAGCAGGTGTCTCTGGATGCCATCTCTCCCCTCCCACTCACACCCTGTCCCTGGGCTGGTCCCATGGCTCTCCTTCTAGGAGACCTCCCAGGTCTGGCCACATGCTCCCTGTCCCCAGGGCCTGCTCTGGTTCTGTGGCCTATCTCACATGCCATGGGCAGGCGACTTGGCATCACCTGGTCTTACCCGTGAAATGCCAGTTGAGGTTGCTGGGGTTCTGAGGACAGAGTCTAGGCCCCGTGAGAAGGCTGAGGTCCCCCACCCTTACCTGCTCCAAGTGCTCACAATCCCCCTCTTGCCACCTTTCCTTGACTGCACTCTGGGAGAGTACATTTCCCGCATGCCTACTGTGTGCGTTTCTCAAGCACCTACTGTGTGTCTGCTCATCACATTTTAGACACTGCCCAGTAGGCATTCAGTCTGTGAGACAAAGTGTTTCCATCATGACACGGAGGCCCAGAACCTCCATCTTTCTTCCTCTGTTCTCTGCTGACACAGGCCAGCTAATCCTGCCTTTCTGCTTTGGCTAGCTAAGCAGGAATCACAAATGCCCCCAAGTACAGCAGCATTAAATTATTCGTTTTGTTTCTCTTTATAGCCACAGGAGGAAGGTCCAGGTATGGCCCAGCTGCTTCCTTCAGTCTCCGTGGGCTCCCAGGGCGCTGTCACCTCCTGGCCTGTCAGAGAGAGACCTAGCTCCTTTCTGTGGCCTCCAGCAGGGTTCAGCTCCTCATGGGTGGGTCCAACAGCCTCAGGGGACTTCCTCGCCATATGGTCCTCTGCACAGTGGAGTTCGATTTTTAGCAGAAGACACTGGAAACCCATGTACAGACTAAAAGAGTGGATTTCCTTGCGGGTACAAGGCAGCCCAGTTCTGGTGTGGCAGGATTGTGATGTCATAAATGTTCCAGACTTATGCTCCACATGTGGAACCTCCATACTGAATGACAAATCATGGCCCAAGATGAATGCCATAGCTCCAGCCATCATCTTGGCATTCCAGGTAGAAAGAAGGAACATGAGGGCTGAGCTTCCAGGGGACACTCTACAGAGGGCTTTTCCAAGGTCCTCCTCTGGTGACTTCTACTCAGACATTACTGCCCCCCCCCCAGCTGCAAACAAGGCTGGCGTTCTGTGTTTTTAGCAATATGCAACACATAGTGAACAAAATCAGGATTCTGTTTTCAAAGGGGGACATGACAGCCCTCAGGTCTAATTGCATATGAAGCTGTAGACAGCCAATTCTGAGCGTGACGGTCATTGTCATCTTCATTATAGTGGCCTGGACTTCCCATATGGGACCCTTCAGACCTGGCTGGTTGACCGTCCCTCACAGGAGAGGGATGAGATTCCAACCGCTCCTTCCTACACCTCCCTCACAGCTCTACGAGGTTCTGTCCAACTGCATGCGACCTCGTGGTCTTGGGAGGTGTAGATCACACAGAGCGCAGATGGTTAGGTGAATGTGGGTGGTGGGGGACTGGGGTTCAGTCTATGCAGCTGCAGGAATTCATCATCCATGTCGGGGCCAGGCTTTCCAATGGTGGGACTGTCTGGAGGTCACTGATCCTCCTACCAGCGACCCCTCACTGGAGAAGTCATTGTTTTTGGAACTAGTAGGGGACATTGGGCTGTCACCGGTGTCCCGTCTAGTAAGTAGATCTTTGTTTTAACCGTTCCAGGAAAAACTCATTCAACAGAAGCGAGGCCCTAAAAGGCTTGTGTTGCAGTCTTGATGTCCAGCTGAGGGCACTGTGGAGGAGAGGTGATGGGGTGATGGGATCATGGGGGCTCTGAACTCATCCCTAGGGGGCTCTTAGGAGGTGGGCCCGGCTGGAGGAAGTAGGTGAGGGTGGGAGCTTCGAAAGGGATCATGTTCCCCGCCCCTTCCTGTCTCTGCTTCCTGCCCACCCTGAGGTGAGCAGCTTTGCCCCTTCAGTGCTCTCTGCATGGTGGTGTCCTCGTCAGAGCCTATCAGGACAGAACCCGCAAACCTCTGCAGCCATGACCCAGAGCATCTCCGTCACCTTCACACCATTACCCTCAGCATTTGTGCTGACATCCTGAAGAGAGACGATCCCTAAGTCAAGAGTGCCCTGAAGGAAGTGGGCACCACGTGGAAGCAACCCTGCTGCACCTCAGAACCACGTCACACAGTGTGAAAGCCGCTGGTGGGCCTGCGGTCTCAGGTCTGTAATCTCAGCTGTTGGGGAGGCTGAGGCAGAAGGATCCTAAGTTCAAGGCCTGCCTGGACTTCAGGGTTCTAGGGAAAGCCATTTGGGATCTGTTCTCCTAATGGTGGTCATGTTATTTAAGCTGGTGGTGCCTCAGTTTCCTCACTAGGAAAGTGGACTAACACAGGGCCATCATGGGTGAGATCAAATGCGACAGCTGCAGCATCAGAGCATCATGTCTGGCACCAAGAGCACATCCAAAAGTCACCCAATACCTCTGTTTTTGTAGCCTGAGGAGAGACAGTAAAACTCTCCTGCCAGGGTCTCGGGTTGCCCCAGAATGCTTTGCTGGCTTTTAAAAACCCACCATCCCAGATCCCATGAGGTTGGCAGGAGGCCCAGAGTGAATGTGGGCAGCAGGCAGTTTTGCCAGGAGGACCTCCCTCAGCCCACTGCATTTTTCCACTCGCTGGGTCTGCATGGCCACAAGTCATGATGGGGATATAGACTGTGGTCCCCGAGGAACGACATGTCCCAGGCAGAGCATACCAGGCTCCCTGTGGTGACTCATGTGTGACTATGGGCAGCTAAGACCAAGGCTGCCATGCTTGGCTGCCAAGTGGGTCTTGGCTATTCCAATGTTGCTGGGGGCCAGGCATCCTTGGTTGACCTCTGTTTTCAGAACCCTGGGCCTATTCTGCATGGCAACCTAGGACATCAGACATGCTCAGTGCTCCATCTAAGCACTGAATCACACACCCTGACCTCTAGTGTGGACTCCTCAGGTCCTTGTTCAGACCCAGGGCCTCACGGGGGTTCTGACTTCCTAGAGGAAACAGTCCCATGCCACCAAACTCCAGCTGGAAGACTGTGGGTTCTGTCACATGCTGATTGCATGTCCTTGAGTAGCTCATGCTCTCTCTGTGGGCCTCAGTTTATCTATCAAAGTAGGATGGGTATAGTGTCTTCCCTACTTGGTGAGGTCTGTGACCATTACTACGTGAGCCAGACCATGGTCCTCTGTGACTGATCTCTCTTCCGCCATTTCCTGGACCTCTGGGCACAGTCCCTTGTCCTCTCTCTGGCCTTCTCCCTTACATCTGCCTCCTCTGCCTATTCTGGATGCTTGGGCCTCTATGCCAATCCTTGGTGCATGTGAATACCTGCCTCAGGACTGTAGTGGAAATCTGTTCTGCCTGTGATCTGGCCTTTGTACCTGCTCATCCTTGGACATCGGAATGCTACTTCACAGTGGGTGACCAGAGAGAGCAAGAAGAAACATCACTACCACACTTTCAGCAGCCCATCTCCAAGCTGAGCAGATACCAGGAGAGAGGGTGTTCAGGACTGTTGTGGGAGCTGGCCAC